TAAAAGAACAGTTAGCAAGAAGCCTGCCACGGCCATACAGTTTGTAAGCAATATAAGTCTCTGTGTTTACTTGGTTGGGTCTGAGAGGCTGTGGGACTGGCGGGTGACAAAGATTTGTCCTGACTGTGGGCAAAGCAGGAAAACTCTAGCTACAAACACTCTCTTGCAGAAGGCCTGGATTCAGTCCCCAGCATCCACATGGTAGCTAACAACCATGTATGACTCCAGTTCCAGGAGATTCAATACCTTCTTCTGGCCCCCACGGGCACCAGGCATACACGTGGTGCATGTACATCCATGTAGGCAAACATTCATACACAAAAGATAAAAACAAACAAATGGGTTTTTTGTTTGTTTGTTTGTTTCCAAGACAGGGTTTCTCCATGTAGTTTTGGTGCCTGTCCTGGAACTCACTCTGTACACCAGGCTGGCCTCGAACTCACAGAGATCTGCCTGGCTCTGCCTCCTGAGTGCTGGGATTAAAGGTGTACGCCACCGCCGCCCAGCTCAAATGTTTTGTGTTTTGTTTTGTAAGACAGATCCACTGTAGCCCCAGTATATGTAGCTTGAAGGGAGACAGAGCAAGTGGTGAGGGAAAGCTGGCAGGCTATTTCAGTAGTTCAAGCAAGAGAAGATGGTGCCATCTGGGGACCCACAGCCCTAGGCCTGAAGTGTGGTCATGAACGTAATAGCCAACATTGGAGGATAGTTGAAATCTAGACTTACTTCAGTTTGAGGCTTGGAAAATGATGATAGAGTTCTATGCTCCTCAAAGGGCTAGGACTGTAGTTCAGTGGTAGAACCCTTGCCTCTTGTGCTGAAGGCTCTGGGTTCGATCCCTGGCACAGAAGAAGTCAAATATATATATATATATATATATATATATATATATATATATATATATATATATATATATATATATATATATTTTTGTCTATTACAGATGCCTCTCACGGGGTGATGGGGGAGCATGGCAGGGAAGAAAAGGAAACAGATGGCCGACAGGCTCAGAGCATAGATCTGGGTATGGATGCGTTTTGAAAACACTCATTATGTACTGAGGATGTAGCTCAGTTGACTGAGTACTTAGCATGCACAAGGCTCTGCGTTTGATTCCCATCAGTACGTAACCAGGTGTGGTGATATATGCTTCTAATGCCAGAAGTAACACGTCTGAGTCCATCCTGGGATAGAGACCACGTGTTCTGCACTAGCTAGCTACAACAGCTGTACTTGGGAGTTTGAATGAGCTTATTCAGTTAGCAAGCAAAAGCAAATGATGGAATAACGAGGAGCAGATACATATCAAACGCCACATCAGGAGTTTATAGCATCTGGCAGAGATAACGAGAGTAGCCTGATTGAGAGAGCACACAGAGGGAACATCGTCAAACTGGAGGCTTAAAAACGTCCAGCAGAGCTGGGCGGTGGTGGCGCACGCCTTTAATCCTAGCACTCGAGGCAGAGGGAGGCGGATCTCTGTGAGTTTGAGTCTCTGTAAGTTCGAGGCCAGCCTGGTCTGCAGAGTGAGTTTCCAGAACAGGCTCCAAAGCTACACAGTGAAACCCTGTCTTGAAAAACCAACCAACAAACAAAAATGTTCAGCAGAGATGGAGTGGGGAGACTGATGCAGTCAAATGGAGTTCCTGATTGACCTCATTCATTGACCTTATTCTCAATCAATGAACTTCTGCTCAAAAATGTAGTCTTTTTTTTTTTTTTAACCATGAGATGAGCTATGGTAACCTCTGTTGGAAATGGTTTCTCCCTGTAGCTGTTCTCAAGGACATGATGTTTCTAGTTTGA